TCTTTGGACAAGGATGCGTCTGAAGTTCTTCTGATTCCTAAACTTTGCTACCAGCTCATTTTTAGGTCTTGCACTTGAGTACCGTGTACCCAACTATGACAAAAAGGTACCGAACTAAAGCGCATTCTTTTCCAACGAAGAGTTACTCATGTTCGGTTTTATCTTCGTAACAACTAGTGTCCCGAACGTCAACTAGTGCCCCATGTTCGAAGCTCCCTCATTGGGCTGCACCGAAGTCATACCGTTCTGTACATTGCCAAAGTGGTTCTTAGACCACACTGACCACAACCACCCGGTCAAAGCAAGACTGAGCAGTAGTGCCAGCTGTCAGCACCAACCGGCCAGGAAAAGCCTTGCACTGCCAGATGGAAAAAAAGCTTTTCACTTTTAGCCGATCACCCAATCGGTTAAAAACAAGTACTCAAAGGTCGCAGTGATCAAAATAGAGAGTGTGTCTTCAATTAGGCATGTTCACTCCTAAGAACTTCAAGAGAAGAAAGTCATCAAGGACATATTCTTGACTTGAGTACTTTCGCAGCAATGTTCCAATGTCAGCCAATAAATGCTTTGCATTCATTGGCTGGACTTGAGTCGCAACAAGATCAGCTTGAGCAAATGCGGTGCATATCTCAAACGATTGAACCATGCAACACTGCTAGGTGCATATCGCTTGTTCGACCCAACTTACTCGGAACTTATATGGCTGCTGCTCTGGTAACTACTGCTTTTATCAGTCGAATCAAAGTCGCCCCCCAATTTCTTGCCCAACATCTTCTGCAAGGACTTCTGGATTGTTCTCTGGATCGTCCGTTCCTTGTTTCCGGGTCACAACAGGTCGTAATCTCTTCCAACATGCAGCAAACGAGAGTGGAGAGTGGTAAATGGAGTTGAACCATACAAGACAAACAAACCATTAGACACACCATGCATAGGACACACCACGCTGCAACTGGCAGCAATAAAGTTCACTAAAGTTGCCAAAGTGCAACTCCACTTTCGTCCTCGTGTCCTTTCTTCTCCGGCCAGGGCAAGGAGGGATCTGGTCTTCCACCGAAGCGCAAGATTTGCTCTTTAGGCACCGGGTGCTCCAATGCGGCCTAAGTCAAATGAATGCTGCTTTCTTCTTTCATGTGTGTTTTGTTGTCTTTTGGACCTTTACACGTCTTCGCTTTTGTGGTTCCTTCAGCCTTTTCCTTGCAAAGTGGCTTCCATGGTCTTGATGCCGCCCGCCAAGCCCAAATCCCCTTCTTCGAAGTCCACCCGACGATCCAATGCCAAAGCACCAATGAAGCCTCTGCGACCAAAGAACTGTCAACGATCCGTCGACTATGACATCGCTGAATCCAAACTAATCATTGGCAACACGTAAAAGAAAACAAAACACATATCGACTTCCGTTTGTTTGGCTTACGTGTCAGTCGTGGGTTTCTGGGTGAAATCTTGACCTTGCCTTTCCATCGCTTTGGTTGGATATCCTTCAAGGTATCCAGGATGATCTTTCCACGCGCCAATCGCGCGTATCCCTTGATGTCGGCCGCCAGCGAGCTGTAGACGCCACAGAACTGGGAGACCAGCAAGTTGAAGAGAAAACCTGGAATACACAACACAGCCCCTTTCATCTCGTTTCTCTATGTTTCTTCCATGTCCTTTGTATTTAGACTGCATCTTCTTTAGGGCCTTTCTTTCAGTTGTGTTATGTTGTGTTTTTTAGACCTTTCTGCCGTTTTCTGTTTTTCTTTAGGCCTTCCTTACTTTTCCTCTTTTTTTTGCCCGTTCTTCTTTGGACCTGTGTTCCGTGTTATTTTATTGTTTAGACATTCCTTCCTTTTCTTTTTTCTAGAGCCCTTTCTTCCTGTTCTGCCTTTAAACCGTCTTCTTTGCTCTCTTTCTTGAGACTGTACCATTTTACGTTGTCTAAATGTTTCAGCAGAAAGCCTGGAGAATGAAATAATCCTTGTTTCCACTTGGGCGACAAGAGCTGAGTATGTCGGGAAAACGAAGGCTGGACCAAGCACCCGCCGTGAGGGCAGCATTTCTTTGCTTGGCTTGGATGAGACAACATTTCTTCATAGGGTAAGCACTGATCAGCTCTCACTATGGCCGGACAACCTAATTGAGGACAGTGCCACAATGTACACCACAGTGGAATTACATGTGCCCTCCACACCATCGCTAGTAGGTTGGAGGCCATCGCTAGTAGGTTGCAGGCCATCGCTACTATGGGGGAGGCCATCACTACTATGGGGGAGGCAATCGCTACTAGGTTTGAGGCCATCACTACTAGGTTTGAGGCCATTGCTATTAGGTCGGAGGCCATCGCTATCAGGTTGGAGGCCATCGCTACTAGGTTTGAGGCCATCACTACTAGGTTGGAGGCCACTGCTACTAGGTTGGAGCCCATCGCAATTAGGTTGGAGGCCATCGATAGTAGGTTGGAGGCCATCGCTACAAGGTTGGAGGCCATCGCCAGCAGGTTGGAGGCCATCGCTAGTAGGTTGGACAGACGATGGCGTGGTTTGTAGGAGGAAGAGCTCTATCTTAAATGGTGAAAATGATACAACCTGACCCTGATAGCACCTGGAAGCGATGCCCTCCAAACTACTAGCAAAAGGAACCTAATAGGAATGGCCTCCAAGCTACTAGCAATGGCCTCCTACTAGCGATGGTCTCCAACCTACTAGCGATGGCCTCCAACCTAAGAACGATGGCCTCCGACCTAATAGCAATGCCCTCCAACCTAGTAGCGATGGCCTCAAACCTAAGAGCCATGGCCTCCATCCTAGTAGAATGGACCGTCCCCTACAAACCACGCCCATCCAAGATTTAAACGTATTTCCACCGCATCCACCTCATCCACCTTCCAGATCCTGTATCACGTCGTTCGTAAATCCAACCTTGTACTTTTGTGAAGAGCTGAACAACAAAACATAGTGGAAAGGAATCATCTAAAGACAGCATACATATATATATATATACGGTACCCCCCAAAAAAACCTATGTTCACCTCACTTTTGCTGGTATTTGCAATATTGTGTGTCTATTTTTGGAGGCCTTTTGGACCTTGGTTTTTGGTACCATACAAATGTATATATATATATACTGCAGGTAGGTTGCATAACTTGTTTGTCCAGAGATTACAAAAATTCCGGCATGTTAAGTAACTTTGGAAGGAATGCATTCAGAATGCATTCTTGTTCAAAACCAAGATCCAAGATTCCCACAAGACTCCTGGCTAAAATCTTGGATTGATACAATGACAAGGATGTTCTGGCAAATCCCAAATCCAAGATTTTCCACAAAACTTCTGTGCAAATCTTGGATCTTGGTTTTGGGAAGGAATGCATTCTCTGGCATTCTCTGGTAGTGACAAAATTGGTTTCTATATGTCTCATTTAATCCTATTTTGATTCTAGCTCAACGCACATGGAATTCTAATTCAGGTTTGATGTCATTTTGGAGAGTGGGTGTTGCTGGGGGTGAATTTAATTCAGTTAAGAAAGCAGATGCTTCTATATAGGAAAACACTATATAATTACTTTACTTCGAGTGATCCCCACCATGACATTCACATGCTGTGTTGCAACATGCTGTCACGAACACAGCAACTTCAAACATTAATATACAAAGGATCAAATCGAATTCAGCAAAGCACCAACAAATTATCTTGCTTCAAGTAATCCCCGTGTTTCACCTGGCACTCTATCTCTCATATCTTCTTGCATTCTATCTGGCAATCTATCTGACATACTATCTGGCATACTGTCTGGCATTCTATCTGACATTTTGTCTGGCATACTAAATGTCATTCTATCTGGCATATCTTCTGGCATTCTATTTGGTATTCTATCTGGCATATTTTCTGGCATTCTATCTGGCAATGTATCTAGCAATCTATCTGACACACTATTTGGCATACTATCTGGCATATCTTCTTGCAGCATTCTATCTGGCAATCTACCTGGCATTCTATCTGGCATTTATCTGGCAAACTATCTGGTTGAGGTCCAGCGGTGCACACTGCGATCGGATCCTTGCGGTTGAGGTCCAGCGGTGCACACTGCGATCGGATCCTTGCGGTTGAGGTCCAGGGGTGCACACTGCGATCGGATCCTTGCGGTTGAGGTCCAGGGGTGCACACTGCGATCCGGAGCTTGCCAGACAAGATCGGCGAAGCAGATTGGCGAAGCAGATTGGCGAAGAAGATTGGCGATGAAGATTGGCGATGAAGATTGGCGATGAAGATTGGCGAGGAGGTTGGCGAGGAAGGAAGCAAGGAGGAAGGAAGGAAGAGGAAGAACAACTGTGATAAAATCTAACAACCCTCACCTGGCAGGTGGGGAAAATCTCTCATGTTCAAAGTAACACCATTTCTCTAGAAGTAAATGAGAATTTCATTCAAATTCAAACTATATAAACTGAAAAAGAAGACACTATTAGGATTGAATCTGACTTGTATAGCAATGAAGTTAGAATTAGCTTGAAATCAAACTAAAATTAGGCTTGCGTTGAATCCCAAGTAAATTAGAAGAATCTATAGTGGTAGACCTTTGAATCAAAGTAGAATTTACAAATAGACTTAAATTGGAATTTAAATGTACAAAGTAGAGTAGAGTTGAATAGATTGTGTCTGAGAAATGTGTCTTTAACATTCTTGCTGTCATATCATAACATCTGTCTCTGGCACATAACAAAATCATACGGAGTAACACCAGGACTCAGAAACATAGGTTCTTTTGGGGGGCTAGCATATATATATATATATGGACGCATAGCAAGAAAACCATAGACCGTGTTTGCTTCGGGTCCCATTTTTCTTGCCACCAACGAGAACGCTGTCTTCTTTACCTTGAGTCTTCCGTTTTTTCCCTCACCAATAAGCCTATGTAAGGCATACTATCCTATCCCTGTTACTTGTCAAAAGAAGTCTTCCTTTTTTCTTATTTCTTGATCCTTTCACTGACCGTCAGTTAGACAGCATCTGGCCCGTGAGTTCTGCCAAACACGTTGGAATCCACAGCAAATTCGACAAAGCTTCAAATCCGTGTGGTTAGAGCTGATTTTCCAAAACCAAATGATATCCATCCTGTGCTAGAGCTGCTGGGTTTGCCCCAATGAGACTAAAGAACTTCAAAGTGTTGAAAAACCACCTGATGAGCACTCCAAGCTACTGTACACCAGCAACATGAAGACCACCACAAGGATCAGGAGGAAAGGACTCTCATCGCCAAGGCTATGAAGGACTTGTAGATCCATCACACCGGCACACATCTGAACCAAGGTGCCCATGGTTGACCCCATGTTGCTCCACTCATGAGCTGAGAGTTGTCCTACCTGAGGTCATGTTCACACAAGCTGAAGAGGAGACATGTCAGAGTACATCTCCGCAAGCAAAGGATGCTTTTTAGCTAAAATGTGGATTCACGGATTCACATATTGAACATTAAATGGATGGTGCCCTCCCGACTCCGTATTGGAATACTTCACAATCTACATCCTTTTCAACATGTCGCTTCGCTCGCCTCATGTGTTGCTGCTGCCATTGCAAAGGAGAAGGTGCAAACTGCAATGAATACTGCTCCAACACACAGCACCACTTGCTCAATTGCGTGTAGGCAAAGGACCCGATACTCCGAGAGCTTGATGGAAATGCTACCAACTTCCAAGACCAAAATGGTGTAGATGAAGATCCCCACAATTACAAAGACTTCGTAGGCGAATAGAATATCACCTGGCTTACCAAACTAGAACACTGCCTGTGGTCCCTATTTTTTCTTCATTCCACACGAAACAGCCAGCAGTGTCAAGGAAGCTACTAGGGGCTCCTGGCATCCCTACTAGGAACAAGGACGCTACTAGTAGCAGTGTCATTGGTTGCGACTCGAAGGAAAACCCGCCGCGACCGAAGCGCCGCCGCTCCGACTCGCACCCGCACCGGGTCGCGTCTCCAGGCCTGTCAAGTCAGTGCACTTAAAGGCAATGACCTCTTCCGAGCCCAAGCATCGAATCATCGGCTCAAAGACAATCATGCAAATCTCGGCTCAAAAGACAATCGCTCTTGGGGTGGCCATTGCTATTAGGTTGGAGCTAGTAGGTCCGAGGCCACCTGGTACTTGTCCTAGTATGATGTATCAAACAAATGAATCACACGACTTCTCCCCCGCTGTATTGGGGAGTTGTCAACTGAAATTGCGGCCAGGCAGCCATGTCGAGCATGAGCAAAAAGCTTAAGAATTCTGGCCCCTGCGTCAAATATTGTGGGACATCCACGCCACACACTTTTTTTGAATGTCCCGTCCCTGAGGGACTTGTAAATGTGTAGCGTGTGCGAATAGAGTAGTTTGCCAAATCCCAAGAAGTAGACAAGCGCCCTGGCACAGGCCAGAATCACCGCCGAAGCTCTGGCATCTTCCATCTCCAGTTGATTGAGGTAGCATCCCGATAAGAGAAAAATCAAAAAGTTGATGAGTGTTAGTATCCTGTCTGAGACAAAAAAACGCATGGCCAATTTGTCCCAAAGGAGGTCGAGCGTGAAGGTCAAGATGGGGTGCATAATGGTCTTGGGATGGTTGAATCTCACCAAGCTCCTCGGAGACAAACAGCCATAGCATGACAGTTCAGGTACTGTGCATGGTCATGATACCGGAAGTGATGCTTTCAAAGCAATGCGATTCACTCTTCCTGGGTTCATTGTGGTTGATCCCTCAGAAGTGGAACTCATGTGAACCCAATTCTGTGTTTGGCAAGAATCTTCAAAGCCGTTGAGATCCTCTTGTTCTCATCCATGCTACTAGCGATGGCCTCCAACCTACTAGCGATGGCCTCCCACCTACTAGTTGTGCTTGGCAAGAATCTTCAAAGCCCTTGAGATCATCTTGTTCTCATCCATATCTTGTAACATATGTTCGAGGTAGTAGATCACTGGGCGCCAGCCATCCTGCGTCTTATGAGAACGCCAAATGAGACCATCCAAGAGGATCTCGGCCAAGTGGGGTGCTTCACGCAAAATGTTCTCCACCTCATTCTTTGGAAATGGATTCAGAGTAGATGTGCAATACTATTCAGCCACAAAAGAGGCAAATGTACAAGTGTCTGCTGTGAGTGCTTTTACGCGTTGAAACCTTCAGTCATCCACCTCCGTCTGTTCGGGATCCGTTGCTGCAAACCATGGCACTACGTCAGGCTGAAGTCGGAATAGGTCATTCACGCCATAGTAATAACGGTCTCGGTCTGCTCGGATGGTGAGCACATCTTGAATCACTGTCCTACAGATGGAGATTTCGGAGCAGGTCAGACCCTGAGGGTCTGCAACCAGGTGTGGACGCACTGTTTGGCCTATTCTTTTGCGCAGAATGGCTGCAAAACAGATCCAACAACTCTTCGGACGCCGAATTGGTAAAACAAACCCTCTAATCAAACAAACAATGAATTGCCCTTTTGCAGCCAAGTGTCTTGGCCACGCTGTGTGCACCACTCCTCAGTGCCCAATAGAGTGGCGAGATGGATTGGCTCCCAACGCGAATGCTCAGCTGCCAAGTGAAGCGTTCACTCCGTGGTGCTTCGCGCAAAGCTCGCCGCAATCGCTTCGAATCATCCTGATGGATGGCCTTGCGCAAGCGGCGCAAGCTGATGAATCGCGGCAGATTGGCTTCACCACATAGTTTTCCTTGTTTCTACTCTTTAGTAATTGGAGCTTCTAGGTTGGAGGCTATCGCTACCAGGGTGGAGGTCATCGCTAGTAGGTTAAGTTCTACTCTTTCCTGTAATTAGATCTTAATAAGACCTTTCTTCCTTTAGACCTCTTTCTTCTTTCCAAGGTCTGAAGGAAGAGCCCACGATAGAACCAACACCCGTCTTATTGGGAAAATAAACATGTGTTTTGGCGGAGTTGCCAGCCCCATGTCATTTGCCGCAAACAGAGGCAGTCAAAAGATTTGCGGCATCCAGTTAAAGGCAGTATCCAGTATCTTTGATTTAAGTCTTGGACCGTTATCGGGGGTCAAATTGGTGTTCACCGGTGTCAACCTTGCAACCAATGGAATTCCCGAACCCAGTTTGAAGCAGTTTGAACCAAGCAAAGAGCTTACAGCCTTCAAAACCGGCGATAGATGCGATTCGTATCAAAGAGATGAACGCGCACCAGTCAGGTGGTTCCCGCACCAGTCCGACATCGGACCGACCCAGTCGAGATCCTTCGGATCCCACCAGCGCCTGCATCACAGCGGTGGAGCCCTCGATGATGGTCCTCACCAAAACGCGGCTCACCAAGCCGATGGACCAGCGGAAGCCTGGCAAGAACGCTACAAACGGGGCTCCTGGCATCGCTACAAGGAACAAGAAGCTACTAGTAATAAGGATAGAAACATACCCGCTAGGAGAATCAGAGAATGTCACGTTTTGGACAATCCGTCTTTGGCAGCTAAGTCCATCCCCGCAGGCGAGCCCAGTAAGGCGTGGCAAAGCAAGTCCGGAAAACACAATACAAGGAAAACACAATGTAGAACTGTAGAACGATCAAAAGTATGTACAAACAGTTAAATAAAAGTAAGGTCGAGTCTAAAGGTCAATACAGAATACAGAAAGAAAAGACTATTTCAAGGAATTCTGAGAGTGACCAGAGAAAAAAGGGAAGAGTAGCTAAGTTGAAGATCCAAAAGACCTACGTCCTCCTATTCTAGGTTGAAGGTCATCGCTGTTAGGCTGGAGGCCATTGCTAGTAGGAAGAGTACTCCTAATTGTTTCTATATACAAACATGTAACTCCATAGTAACAAGAAGCTTTCTAGTATGTCTTGGATGCTTCTTAGTAACTAGAAGTTTTTGTTTAATAACAAGGGCATTTCTAGGAGCAAGAAGCTACTAGTAACTCCTGGCCTTACTGCTAGTAACTAGAAGCTACTAGTAGCAAAGGCCATCCCTATTAGGAGCAAGAACGCTACTAGGGGCTCCTGGCCTTACTACTAGGAACAAGAAACTACTAGGGGCTCCTGGCATCGCTACTAGTAACAAGTGCCTTACTAGTAACAAGAAGCTATTGGGAACAAGTAGGTGCTCAGGAGCAAGGACGCTACATGTTTCCACGAGCCCATCGTCGCGTTTGGACCTTCCAAGGTCAAATGCTTCGAGAGCTCGCACTCGGGCAGCTCATGTGCTCGGTCGGCGGGGCAAAGAATCATCTTGCTGGACTCACCTCAAAAAGTCGTTTCTTTTTTTTCTTTTTTTCGTTTTCGTTCAACAATAGGAGAGGCCTTACCTGGAGCCGTGCCTGCCTTTTTTTTTCCCTTTCTTTCTCATGGCCTCCTATAGTCCAGGTAGTGGAAAAGGCAGCAGTACTGGCAGCAGTTAACTGTGAGGTACAATGTGCGCAATGGACACAAATAGGGATATCTTCGGAAAGACCAAGGGCATCTCTGAGAGAGACAATATCCCTCAAAACAACAGAGGTGTCAAGACTTGTCTTTTCATGTCTTTTCCATGTTTTTTTCTAGGTCCTAGGTTGGAGGGCATCGCTTTTAGGTTGCAGTCTATCCCGAGTAGGTTGGAGGCCATCGCTAGTAGGTTGGAGGCCATTGCTATTAGGTACCTGTTCCATCCTGTTCCTCTGTTCCGTTGATTTTGCGGCCCCTGCGGGCTCACCTGTAGGCAAGGCTTCGATCAAGGGCTTCATCACCTCCACGCAGGAGTCGGTGAAAGGCCCGAAGAGCTCGATGGGAACCCCGTAACCCACATGACGAAGACCCAAAGCCGATAAGTCGTCCACCATTTCGTCCTGACATTTCGAGCCGATCAGTCGTCCTGAATCGTCCTGAATTTTGGTCGCCTTAATTTAATTGTTACTAGTAGTAACAAGGGCCACGCTAGTAGTAACAGGTGCCTTACTAGTAGTAACAAAGAAGCTATTAACTTTAATTATAGCAAACATTGTTAGTAGATTCCTTTGCTAGTAATTACAAGTGCATCGCTAGTAGTAACAAGTGCCTTACTGGTAGTAACAAGAAGCTAGTAATTACAATTCCAATTAATTTCTTATTGTTACTACTAGTAAGGCACTTGTTCCTAGTAGCGTGGCACTTGTTTCTAGATGCCATGTTTTGATGTGATGTGTTTCCATCGGTTTGCATGTAGTGATTGTTTCAAAGCGCTTGCCAAACACTGATGCTCAAGGTTTCAGGCATGGGTGTTGAAGTCAGTTGGTTCATACAAGTGCTCACTCTAGGCCATCGCTAGTAGGTTGGAGGCCATTGTTAGTCATCGCTAGTACTAGTGTTGAAGTAAGTTGGTTACTAGAATAATCATTACACTTAATTCTTGTTACTACTAGTAAGGCACTTGTTACTAGAAGCGATGCCCTTTGTTACTAGTAGCTTCTTGTTACTACTAGTAAGGCACTTGTTACTAGAAGCGATGC